ATACATCCATCCACCCATCCATTCATTCTTTCATTCATTCATTCAATCAATCATCCATCCATCCATTCATTCATTCATTCATGGATCCATTCATCCATCCATCCATCCATCCAATTAGTGCAACAGCACTAACCTAAATGGTTTAACAACAAGTTAAAACATATATTACCTGAACAATGAACGGAAAGTTGGAAACACACACAGGCTAAACCACATGTTGGCCAAAGTCGGTTTTCCCAATGACATCAGGGCAGGTTGGGACCCCCTGTTCTAGGGGAACGCAGGGACTGATTCTGCCACCTTTCCCTCCCCAGGTGATTCTAGGCCAGCTGATCATGGTGGGTGGGCTCGAGACGGGGACGTCCTTCAGACACCAGTCGGGAGCAGCTCCAAAGGGCGAAATTGCCCCCCGAGGGCTGCTGGAGGGTTCAAGAGAGCGCCTGGAGTAAGATTTTTTTGAACCAGCGGCTCGAATCCCTAGTTTGAGAAGAAGCAGCGTAGTTGACATCAATTTTAATAAATAAATCAATGAATAAAGGGGGGTTTGTCTGGTGTCCTTCAGAGCCAAAGAGTGGCGTGATGGTGGTGGATTTTGTTCCTCCCCTGCTTCAGACGCAGCATCAAGATCCACCGTCTGCCTTCTCGGTTGAGAAAAATGGGTACCGTGACAGGCAGGCCCATCATCTCCTAGCGTTCTTCGCATCTTCCTGTCGCGCTGAGCGGTGAGGCTTTGAAACCGACTGTGGCATGACTGGAGCCTTTTTTCCTTCTTCTCCCCCCCCCAGACAGGTGCAACGCCACGCGAGAGAACATGACCTTCTTCCTGGCGCTCGGCCTCTCCTGTGGCGCCGGGCTCTCCTTCGTCCTCAAGGCCTTGCTCTGAGGGAGGCCTCATCCTGCCGCTCCAGCGCACAGCATTCCCCGGAACGTCTGAACCGCTTTGAAAGTCAAGGGAGGCTGGGGTGTGTGTGTGTTCCTCACCCCCCTGCCCACGGATGCTTTGTGACCCATATATGGGGCAGCCGGGGATGGCCTAGGATGGGGTGGTGGTGGAGGAAGCCAGGTGCCAGCCTAAGGCATTTTGCTGCCTGAGGCAAAAGACAAGGTCTTTCCTATCTTCGAAACCCCAACGAGACCGGTGTCTAAATGGTGCCCCAATGCTGGAAAATATGGGACAGCGCAATCTGCGTGGCACACAATTCTCTCCACCAATGCCTTGCCACCCCCTTCCCGCATCTTCCACCCGAGGCGGCTGCCTCACTGTCCTCGAAGTCCCCGTCTGTAGCTTTCTCCCGGCAATGGGGAAACGTTTGGGTGCGTGACTCTTAATAGATCCGATTTCGGATTCATCCGGTCACTTTCTGCTCTCCCCAATGAGCCTGAATGTATTTTCCTGGATGACCCATGGATTTTTCAAGTCAGAAGGGTGGGAAAGGATCCCCCCACCTCCTTTCTGTCTTGGGGGAAGGTGGAAAAAAAAGAGGATTGTCTTTTTTCCTCCTCTTGGACTGCTACGCACAGATTTGGCAAGACACGCCTGATTGTAACTCTCATCTCAGACTTCAAATCAGCAAAATATTTGGCCGTACGACGCACAGGTTCTCCGCAGGACGTCCTACGGGAGGGGATGTGGAGAAGCGGGAATATTAAAGCCGTTGGTATTGCCTGAAGGGGCTTCGCGCTCTCCCACTCTGGACCTGCTTTTACTGGCGAAAAGAGGCCAGATTTTCCACTGGCTTCCTTTCCCCTGATCTTGTTTTGTTTCCTGAGCTGTTGTCTCGGACTTTCCTAAAACCACAGGGCTAGTAATTCGCCTTCCTCAAACATCCGTACCAAGGTCTTTTAAAATCAGCAATTTTTCTACTGCCCAATAGATGCGCCCTTGATGAGAGCAAGGTTAAGCCCGTATGCTTGGGGGCCTCCCGTGAGGCTTAAACGCGAGGATTTTTGGAGACTGCTGTTGGCACCACTTCTGCATCCCCGCTAGTAACGGTTGCGCCTTGAATTTGGAAAGGAGACAAAAGGAAAATAGGAGATTTTTTTTCCTCCCACCAGCGCAGAAAAGGGTCTAGCATGGGTGAGAGATGATGATGGCGTAGAATTCGAGGAAGTATTTTCTCACAGTCCGACCTTTAGCTGGGGTCTAAAGTGCATTACATCTTCAGCATAAGAAATTTAGGATCATGGAGAGGGGGACTATTTTTGGTCCTCTGGAGGTTTTGCGTTTCATCCTCTGGAAGTGTCAGCTACTATGGCCGGTGGTCAAGGATGATGGAAGTTGTACTCCAAATCATTCCAAGAGTTCGAGATTGCGCTCATTTTTGGTTAAAGGGCTAATGGCAGTCCTTAAGCTGCAGTCCAACGCACAGTGACTAGGAAGTAAATCGGATGTATACAGTGATGTGTGTAGAAGCAAACCTAGCAATAAATTAACATGCCACAGGGAGCTAACGCCTGTCCTAGCGCTCGTGGTATATTTACGTACTTGTCTCCATTGCACAATTAAATGAAAAGACCATAACGTGTGAATCAGCCTTCCCCAGTTTGTTGAAACGTTGCTAAAGATTGTACTATTGCTTTCTTCTGGGGACAGTTGTGGCCTTCTTGTGGGATCAATGTAAATGTCTATGGCTGCGTTGATTTAAAACAGGAGGTTTTGCAAAAAGAAAAGGAAAAAAAAACAGTGCCATATGTGTTAGTAGTGAGTTACTAATAACCAACTGACAAAGGTATTAGTAGATGTGAACAACAGCAGCCTCAAAAGTAGAAAGCGTTGCTTTACTAAGCCGATTTCCTGCTTCCCCTGAGGGTCCTTTCCAGCTTTATGATTGTATTATTCAAGTAATTTGTCCCCTGGTTGGTATCCCAGCCTGTTGCAAAGACTTGTGTCACTTCTTCGGAAACTGAGAAGTGCCTTTTGACAAGACAGGAAAATATGGTATTTTTGCACTACCCATGCTTATTTATAGCTGTCTGGATAGCTCGGTGGTTTAGGGGTCTGGCTGCCAAGACAGAGGGTGGGAATTTGAATTTCCCACCAAGTTTCCTATAGAAAGAAACAGGGACCCCATATGTCCATTCTTGGACTGCATTCTGTAACTTCCACCCCATTTTGGGGGTTTGCAAAAAATGTTCCTCCCCAATTAATGTGCAACTTCCCATAGTCACAGCAAAGAAAATCGGCAATCCTTTGCTTCTCTTGCATGGCATCCGAAATGGACTGGCCCGGGCCGTCTGCCCAATTGTAGGCCCCCCCCCAGGTTTGAGCCCCAAAGGAAGGATAAGTAAAGGTTAAAGGTTCCCCTTGACATTGAGTCCAGTCGCGTCCGACTCTAGGGCACGGTGCTCATCCCCATCTCCAAGCCGTAGAGCCAGTGTTTGTCCGAAGACCGTTTCTGTGGTCACGTGGCCGGCGCGACTAGACACGGAACGCCATGACCTTCCCACCGAGGTGGTCCCTATTTATACATGCTGTCGAACGGCTAGGTTGGCAGGAGAAGGATAAACCCAACCTCAAAAGACAGACAAACCCACCGCTCCATGTCAAGGGCTCCGGATCGAACAATAAATTAACTTGTGAATGGAAAGTTAGAAAAGGATTATCAAAGGAAAATACAGTCGTTTCAATGGGATTTTGGAACCCTTCTATGGATATGTCTTTACAAAACATAAAGGTTAAACCCCTCCACAAGATTCATTATAGATTTGGAAAGATATACATTAAGATTAAACCTATTGATGAGACTATATATATATAAATATATATTCCCAATGGTGGTGGGTATAGATTTGGAAAGATATACATTAAGATGGAACCTATTGATGAGACTATATATGTAAATATATATTCCCAATGGTGGTGGGTTACACCATACTGTATATCGATGTAATTTATGTTTTTGCTATAAATAAAATGAATACACTTTTTAAAAGAGAGGTCCAGAGCAAGCCATCTATATACAAAATCCTGGTCATTTTCACCCACAGACTGATATAATCATATCCTTGGCCCAGAAGGATAGTTTTGAGGGGATTAGGGGGGGTCTCCCCTTCCAGGGACTTCCTAGATGTCCAGAAGATCTAAGGAAAACCTTGTTAACAATGGGCTCCCACAAATTATATCCTCTGAACTTCCTGATAGGATCCCTAAGGAACCCACCGGTGGTCATCATTTCTTCCGGACGCCTAAAAGGAAAACTGAATTATATGATTATCCAATCTACCACTTCAATCTTGTTGTAGACGGAAGCAATATATAATCCATTTTTTTTTAAAAAAAAGGCATACTGACCACTTTAAACAAAAGATTTGCTTTTAAACACTTAGTGATGTAATATTAGTATTAGACAGGATAAAAGGGCAATACAGTATTGGCTTTCTAAGCCAATGACTTTAACTTTGGTTTCCTTGTTTGCTGCACAAACAGTCTTGACATTTTTCCTTTTGAAATCAGGTCTTGTATGTTACTCTGTCTCTATTTTAACAACAGAAAAGTCATGTTTTTATTTTTTTAAAACAAACAAACAAACATTGGTGCTTCATGTCCAGAATTATTGCAATTGTTCTGTTAGCTTAGGCTTGCCCTTTAAATAAAGTTTTAAAGAAACAAAGAAGTTTAAGTCTCTTATTTCTATTGGATTAGCATCCCTAGAAAAAAAATACCCCAATTTTACTACAAGAAAAATTTACCCCTTCTCCTTGGCATATCACTCTTGGCTAACAACAAGATGGTCGCATATTTCCCCCCAGAACTATAGCAAGGTCAGCCCAAAAATCCCAATGCATCTTAAAAATATATAATTTTTTTTCCTGGAGCAGTGTTATCCATTTCCCCTCACTCTGTGTCTCTGTGAGCTTAGTGCTCGTATCTTCCAAATGCATTTTATTTATGGTTGTTTTAGGTTTTTTGGGCTGTTTGGCTGTGTTCTTAAGGTTTTTCTTCCTAACATTTTGCCCATCTCTGTGGCTGGCATCTTCAGAGGACAGGAGTCGGAACTCTGTCTGTGCTCTGGTGCAGTTTGTTTCGATAGTTGAGTATTTATAGCTGTGGGATCAGCTTTTGTCCTTTTCAGGAGATTGGGTGATTATGGTGATCAGTGTGTTTTTTGTTGTGGGTGTACATTTTATTTATTTTTATTTATTTACGCACACCTATATATTGTAAGCTACATTCTGATTCTTTGTTACGAGTTAAATTATGCATTTAATACCACTATATGAATTTGACAATAAATTTATCTTTATGATATTAGAAGAAAGTACTTAGCTGTAAATTTTCCCTCTGTCACAAACTTACTATGTGTCCCTAGTCCTGTCACTTAGTCTTCTACCATCAATCTTGCCATATAACAATATTTATTTATCTTTTTTATTTATTTAATTTATACCCCGCCTATCTGGTGACCTACCTTACAAGGGGGTTGTATGGAGTAAAATATTATATGTTTAATGCATTATCCCCTTCTCTCGTGTCCTGCAAGTCACTATATGTTAACCCACGGAGTTCAGTAAGCTGACTAAAAAAGTAAGGGAATCAATAATAAGACTGCCTTCAGCAATTAAGCAAATAGTTTTAATTGCTTCCTTCCCACAGCGTTCCCCTGAGATCACATTTAGAATCAAAGCCATAAACAAGAGCTAATAAGTATTGCAATTACAGTACATTTATATTGTACAATGTTGCAATGATAGCTACAGTTAACAATGAAGTTACAATGTAATTACTGCAAAAAGAAATTTTTTTACAAAGATTGTTTCAAGGAACCCTTTCATCTCCACCCTAACCTGACACATTTTAGTGCTGAGATTGGTTGATTGCTTATTATTTCCTGTGTTACTAAATTAAAGAAGGGGGGGGGAAACTCAAAATGCCCTAGGGTTGTAAGGGGCTTCCAAGCCAGTGGAAATCCAAAGGAAATTTGGATTTTTTTTTCCTGTCTTCTGTCTCCCTCGCTCCAAGCGCTGATACACGAAAGGAAGTTCGTTTCTCTTTTTCCCCCCACGAAAATATAACACACAATTGGGTGTGATGTCTTCCCCCCCCCAAAGCCACTCCAAAAAGGGGAAGCGACGAGGATGGGATTCGAACCCACGCGTGCAGAGCACAATGGATTAGCAGTCCATCGCCTTAACCACTCGGCCACCTCGTCTCACGGAGCAAGGCTGTCCTTTCCACCTGGTCTATAGCTCCTCCCTCCTGCGCAAGAGATGCATGCCCATCCATACCCCCCCCAGACACACACCCCAAAATATGCCCAGGAAGCCCCCCTTTTCCCCAGGCAAAGGCAGGGGGTCTCTCCTCCTCTTCGGGGTGCAGAACCCCCCCTGGATCGCCCCCAATCCCCATCAGCTCAAAACTCATCACAAGGGGGGGGAAGCATCTAAAGCAGGGGAAGCCCATGCACCGTGCATGCATGCATGGGCTGGGGATGGTGGTGGCTTTGTTGTCGTGGAGGATGATGAGGATGATGAGGAAGTGTCCCCCTCCGAGGCAGCAGGGGGCGCCGGAGGCTCATTTCCCTCCCCCC